AAAGTACAGCCGGAATGCTCCTTGGAAGTAGAATGGCCAGACTTCATCTCATCTACTTCAGTCATGTTGTCAGAAGGGCCCATTCCCTGGAGAAGGGTATCATGCTGTGTAAAGTGGAGGATCAAGGAAAAAAGGAAAGGCCCTCAAAGAGATGGATTGACACAGTGGTTGCAATGATGAGTTCAGGTATAGGAAGGATGGTGAGGCTGATGTGGGACTGGGCAGTGTTTCTTTCTGTTGTACACAGGGTCGCTGTGAGTCAGAGCCAACTCGATGGCACCTAACAACAACAACACTGCCACATAAATGTTAAATAATCAGTCATCAGCTCTGTAGATAGCATGAAAGAGAGAGGCAGATAGATGCTACCTGTAGCAGAGAGGAAAGGTCTGTGAATAAGAAGCTGGAGAAGCGCAGTCAGTCATTCTGAGTGATGAAAAGGAGGTGCCGGTTTATTGGACCAGTGTAGAGTGGCCCTCTGCTCTCTGCGCAGAGCTAGGGAAGGAACAGAAGAAAGAGGATGCCTGTTTCCTCATCATTCTGGGCATTCCAAAGTGAAATTTCCTTTGCCTGAACATGATTTTTGAATATCCCAGAATAAGCAAAAATTAAAAAAAGATAAACAAAAAAATGGTAATACCATCCTATATCAGCAAAACACCAGTCTCCTGAATCCTGGCTTTCCAGCCAGTAACTGGCTTCAATGCAAACAAGACTGGCAAGATACTCCTGGTCAATTAGTGGCTAAGACACTTGCCTGCTAACCAGACGGCTGGTGGTTCAAACCCACCAGCCACTCCTCGGAAGGAAGGTTGGGCAATCCTACTTCCGTAGTGATACTGCCTCGGAAACCCAAGGAGGGGTCGCTATGAGTCGGGTTTGACTCAACGGCACATAACAACAACAACAACAACAAGGGTACTACAGTTAGTCCCTCAGTATCCACTGGGGGTTGCTCCCAGGACCCCCATGGGTACCAAAATCCGAGGATGCTCAAGTTCCTCATACAAAATGGGGGAGTATTTGCATATAACCTATGCACATCCGCCTGTCTACTCTAAATCATTTCTAAATTACTTATTTGTTATCTACACAATGCAAATAGCCCTTTACCTCTGCTTGCTCTTAGCCTTTGAGGGATTGCTTTGACCACTTAACTGCTCCTCCCGCCCTCACTCCAATACTTTCCAACCATTGTTGGTTGCATCCCTAGGTGCAGAAAAAGTGGATACGAAGATCCAGCTGTACTGCTCATACGAAGGATTCATAAGAGGAAAAAAGTAAAAAGCCCATGGACACACAGACATGCAAATATAAGCAATGTAAAAACTTGAGATAGGGAATGCTGAGTGATGATTTCAGCATACTATATACATCTTGGGAGGTCTGGTGGCGTAGTGCCTAAGGCACTTGACTGCTAACCAGAAGCCTGGTGGTTCAAACCCACCAGCCACTCCACGAAAGGAAGGTTGGGCAATCTCCTTCCGTAGTGATACTGCCTTGGAAATCCAAGGAGGGGTCGTTATGAGTTGGGGCGACTCGATGGCACATAACAACAACATATACATCTTAGCATCATGGAAGTGCGTTCTTTAAACACATGCCAGAGAGTTCACACTCCAGGCACTGGGCAGTGACTTAACTCATTCTTTGCCACCTACACAGACAGGCCTGTCAACCAAGAGGATAGCATCCCATATTGCAACACATATTATTATTGCACTGTTGTTTAAACCCATCCTGCATATGTCAAGACAGATAAGAGCTATGGATACAGGAATCTAAACCAGCCAGCCAGCCACTCCTCGGAAGGAAGGTTGGGCAATCTACTTCCGTAGTGATACTGCCTCGGAAACCCAAGGAGCAATCCCTATGAGTTGGGGCCAACTCGACGGCACATTACAACAACAACAAAAAACATACATTATCTGGGAGCTCTGGTAGCGTAGTGCCTAAGGCACTGAACTGCTAACTAGAGGACTGCCAGTTCAAACCCACCAGCCACTCCTTGGAAGGAAGATGGGGCAATCTACTTCCGTAGTGATACTGCCTTGGAAACCCAAAGAGCGGTCGCTATGAGTCGGGTCCGACTCCACGACACACAACAACAACAACAAACCAGCCACCTGGAATCTTTATTTAAGTCCCCAAAGGATATAACTTCCTGAAATACCAAACCTTCAAGTCCCTGGTATGGAAGGCGGTTAAGTCTGATGATAACGCAGTCCAAAAGAGCCCAGGAGTTCGCAGGGCTCTGAGGGCCCTCCACAGCCACAGTGCTCGGCCTGGTGTCCCTGCAGAGGTAACTAGGCCCCGGCTGCGCCCAAGAAACAGGCCCCAGCCCTGCCCTCGCTCTCCACCCCACCCCACCCCATCTCTGGCAGCCCGAGCCTTCGGACATGCCGCTGGGGTGGACCCCGGACGCCCAAGCAGAGGTTACTCACTGCAGGTTTCGCACGACCATGTCCCACCAGGCCGCCACGCAGCCGGGGTCAGAGGGTTGGGGTGCCACCGCAGCCTCGCACACCTGCGCGCCCATCCCGCGCAGTCTCCACACCGCAGCAGCTGGAGGCGCCGCAAGAGCTGCCACCTGGAGCCCCCGACCGCGCCCCGCCCCTGCGGCGCCCCGCCCACTGTCTTCCTCGCAGAGGAGTGGCCGACACCGGAAGGCAGGTGCGGTGGGTGTCACAGGCTCGGCCGCGAGAGGGACACGTTGTCCTGAGAGTGGGCTTTGGCCTTGAGGTTCAGACTGCTGAAGGCTTCCTCGCTCCAGAAGCGAACGACGGCCTCGGGTAGGAGAACGTGGAAGAGAAGCCTGCTGCCCAGCCGATGGAACCAGGTGGCCTCCCTTATGCGTGGTGCTCGTGTGTTAGGCGCTGGGGAGAAAGGGGGAGCCTTTAGAGAGGGTCACGCACATCCCCCAACCCTTGATTTCTACCCTGAGCCTTTTCTTCACACTCTCGTTTCCTCTTAAGACATCTCTTAGAATAGTGTTTACCAAACGCGGCCTAACCAGTATGTGGGATATTCTTGATGAGGAATATATAAACCTTCCTCTCCCTTGAGCTTCCACTTTTTTGCCCCTTTCATATTTTTTTTCCTGAGCTTTAACTATCCCCAGTTCCTCTCCCACTTCACACACACACACACTCACACACACACACCCTTGTCATCATTACTGTATCAAGAATTTCTCTGGTTCTCTTTGGTTGCATAATGGTTTATCTGTCCACAAGGTTGTGTAGTATACAATTAACCCATGTACCCTAGATTAAAATCTTTTAGGCAGTTTATTTACTTAGCAGCATGTGACAGAACCCCACCATTGCATCAAGGAGTTCATGCCTTGAAATGTTTGGCACCTGGTGTAGATGTACATAGTACAGTTGTTTCCTAGGAGACATGCACTATCTGTCTACTAGAGCTTCTTCAGGAAAGCCACAGGCAGAAATGTAAGGGCAAGGAAGGAAAAAAGAGAATGGGGTTTTTTTGGAGATGAAATTTGATGCCAGCATCAAGACAACCTCTACAGAAGGAAAGGGTAGACTTTCGTGGTACCTGTACTGTTTGGAAGGAGCCCTGGTGGTTCAGTGGTTAAATGCTTTGCTGCTAACCCAAAGGTTGATGGTTCAAATCCACCAGCCACTCCATGGGAGAAAGATGTGGCAGTCTGCTTTCATAAAGATTATAGCCTTGGAAACCCTACAGGGTCAACAGCAGTGGGTTCGGTACTTTTTGGACTTTGTCACCTGTGCAGAGGGCACAGCAGTGGATTGTCAGCCCCCAGAAAATGCATAGGGACATGCATTTGCTTGGGGACAGTCAATCAGTCTGGAGGAAAACACCCACACCTTTCAAGAAAGGGTAGCTCTTTGTGAGGACTAGGGGCATTTCGTATAACTGGTCAGATGAGGGAGGGCTTTGTTCATTGCTTCTTGCAGTGGCTCTTGGAATGTCAATTTTCTGATCACATTAAGATAGGGAGAAAAAGAATCAGACTAGGAAGTATCAATGGGATCTAAACCTTACTGGTGAGCCAGCTACAGGTGGGTTTTCATGGGACCACACCCAGCACAATGAAGAAGGTTAAAGTCCAGCTCAAGCATATGTCAGATTCCACCCCTGGAGTTTTCCATGATGTTGGTCTGGAATCTCATAGAACCTGCTCAGTAGAAGGTCTGGAGGAGACCCTGGAGCTATGCCATGTGGAGATGGACAAATCAGAGATGCGGAGCAGAGCTAGGAAGAGAGCTGCAGCTGCAGTTGGCTCCAGAATCTATTTCCATTCACTTATTCAGGTGAGAGGCATAGCCACTGGTTGGGGAAAATTGAAAGCCCAACGTGTACAGGGATGTTTGAAATGCTTAGCAAAGTCTTTGAGATTGAAAACCACTATTAAACCTCCCCACCAATTTTTTTTTTTTTTTTAAGACTGTATAAACTGAAGCCCTAGGAGAGGCTTTTCTCACCATAAATAGTCCTTTTTGGATGGCACCTCCTGGAGATCCAGAAAGTGCAGTCCCTGATTTGATAGAATCTTAAGATCAACACATTCATTCCTTCATTCATCACCTGCTTACTGAGTGGGAGCCCCTGAGTAGTGCAGAGAGTTCACATGCTCACTGGGCTGCTAACAGAAGGTTGGAGGTTCATTTCTACCCAAAGAAGACTTAGAAGAAAGGCCTAGCAATCTACTTCTGGAAAATGAGCCATTGAAAACCCTATGGAGAACAATCCTCCTGTGATACACAAGGAGTCACATGTTGTTGTTAGGTGCCGTTGACCCAACGTACAACAGAATGAAACACTGCCCGGTTGCACACCATCCTCACAATCCTTGCTGTACTTGCAGCCACTGTGTCAGTCCATCTCGTTGAAGGTCTCCCCCTTTCTCGTTGACCCTCCACTTTACCAAGCATGATATCCTTCTCCAGAGAATGGTCCCTTCTGACAGCATGACCAAAGGAGGTGAGATGAAGTCTGGCCATTCTCACTTCCAAGAAGCATTCTTTCTGGCTACACTTCTTCAGGACAGATTTGTTTATTCTTCTGACAAACCAAAAAAAAAAAAAAAAAACCAAAATCACTGCCATCAAGTCAGATCCAACTCATAGAAACTCCTCCTTGGGTTTCTGTTCTGGCTACCTAGTGCCACTCTGATGAGAACTATACCACAAACAGAAAGGCCTTAACAAACAGGAGTTTATTCTCTTACAGTTCGGGAGGCTAAAAGTCTGAGTTCAAAGTGCCAGGCTCTAGGGGCTGGGTGAAAGCCCCTGGACCTTGGGCTTCAGCTCTGCCTCTTGCTCCTGGCCCACTGAAGCTAGAAGCTTCTCTTCATTCAGGCAGCTACGGGCTGCTGAGGCTAACAAGCCCAAGGTCGAGAAATAAAATGGCACAGTCCCAATGTTACCAAACCACACGGCAGGCCATTCATTCTAGTCCATTGTAAGTCCCAAGGTCAGCAGAGCATGGCAGGCTGCTGAACAATGACACAGCTACATGCAGGGTCCAAGCATGCCATAAGCTAGAGACCATTCCCCAAGGCTTCTGCTTATATACAGGAAGCAGACCACATCCCTAAAGCAACTACTCAGCTGCTCATAGTAGATTCCACCATGGAGTTGATTACCAGTCTCATGATGGGGAATAGTACATCCAGCTGCCCAGCCACTCAACCAGGCCCAACCAAGTTGACACAAAACATAACCAGACAGTTTCCAAGGCAGTATCTCTACGGAAGTAGATGGTACCTTCAGTATTCTCTGCCAATACCATAATTCAAAAGCTTCAACTATTCTTCAGTCTTCCTTATTCATTGTCCAGCTTTCACATGCATATGAACAAAAAACAAACAACCAAACTCACAGCTGTTGAATCAGATCCGACTTACAGCGACCCCTGCTTGGGTTTCCGAGGCAGTATCACTACAGAAGTAGATTGCCCAATCTTCCTTCTGAGGAGTCGCTGGTGGGTTTGAACTGCCAGCCTTCTGGTTAGCAGTCAATGCCTTAGACACTACACAACCAGAGCTCCCTAAGAATCTCTAGGAAGGGGGTAAGTTGTTGTTACTTGTCATTAAGTTAGCGCCAACTCATGATACCTTTATATATGACAAGATTGTTGCTTGATCTTGCACCATCTTCATGATTTTGCTATGTTTGAATCCATTATTTTGGCTATTACGTCAATCTATCTCATTGAGGGTTTTCACTGACCCTCTATTTTATGAACCATTATGCTGTTTTCTAGCAATTGTTCTTTCCTGGTGACATATCCAAAGTAAGCAAGCCAAAGTCTCACCATCCTCGCTTCTAAGAAGCACTCAATAGAATTTCTTCCAAGACGATGTGTTCGTTCTTCCAGCAGTCCATGATATATTCAGTATTCTTCACCATCACCACAGTTCAAATGTAGGAACAGGTATAGAATGCTGTGTCTTGCTAGTTCATTATCTCCTCTTGTTCCTCCAAACATTTCACTTGCAATATTCCCTATCTTGAAGTACAGCATCATAACAAATGAAGTTTCTCAAACCAGAAACTTCTGTTTTCCCTTAAGCTCAGAATTCCCTCTAAATAAAACTAAGATATGTCTTGATGTAATATTTATTCAACAAACATTTACTGAGAGCATTTTATGTTGTTTCTGGCCTTGGAAGTTTACACTCTAATTACGAGGACAAAACCAACAAGTATGAAAAGCTAAATAGCAACCTGAGAAATATCACCAGATAATAAATGATCATGTGCCAGATGAGTAGTACAGATAATATGTATGGCTGTAGAGACATCTTTGTGGGCTGCAGAGGTCAGACAAGGAGCTCAGGAAGATACTACATTGCTTGGAAACAACCTTGGAGGTAGAAGATAATTTGCCTGTCCAAAGAGATGCATCAAATGTTGAAACTGGAAGGAACATCAGCAGTCATTTACCGATAATCAAATTTTGCATAGAGGAAACTGAGACCCAGAGAGACAGGCCAAGTGATGAATGTTGAGCTGCATTCCTTCAGTGTTTATTGAGCAGCCACTGGATATCAGGCACAGCATGCCCTGCACTTATTCAAAAGAACAAACAAGATGAGACTAATTATCAAAGAGCACCTGGTACTTGGCAAGCAATTAAACCTATGTCAAAGTATCCTCAGGGGCAGTGCTACGATGGGAAGGTGGTGGGACCACCTGGTAGTTATGAACTGGGTTACTAGTCCTTGAAAAGAGCAGAATTAAAATAGTTAATCATAGGTTAGGTGGGCACTAATTATTTCTGCTTCATGAGTAATCAGGGCGGAAGAATTTACCACCACCTACGGGGTCCAGGAGTCTTAGCAGATATCCAGGTGAGAGATTCTGAAGCAATCTTTACAGGGTCCATTTGACTGAAGGTGACAGAAGGCTAAGATACTGTGATTGGTTTTAGGACAAAATAAATAGGAAGACAAGATTTCTTTATTTTACTTGAGTTATTGAAAAATTTCCTTCTAATAAATTCAGATTAAGAGTACTTTCATGGTCCACAGCACAGCCTTAGAGTAAA